AAAGTGAAAGATCTCTGGGAGTACTGCCAGCTTTAGTACCTGGTTGTGAAAGGCTGGGGTAGAGAACTGCATGATAAACAGGTTGTATAATTAATTATCTGGTATTATTTGCATTTAAGCATAATGTAAGATCGGCTTGAGTTCTTTATATTCCCCTTTGAGAGCTCCTCTGTCTCTCTCCCCTGGCTACAGAAGGAGCTTGGGGAGGTTGAGCCTTGGAGAGCCCAAGCTGGGTGTTGTGTGTAACCACCTCCTTCCAGAGAGATGGGGATCGACAGACGTTTTTCTGTGGTTTTGTAATAACTCATTACATTACAAAGCAACTGATTGTATCTGCTAATTGTGATGGGTGGGTATTTCAGCTTTGAGTCAGGACTGGGTAAAGTAAGTGCTGTGCATCCCAGTGCTACAGCTGGTTCCTTCTGCAGGCACGTTTTAAAAATGTCTTGTTCATTCTTACTTGTAGATTAATTAATTCTGATGGAATTGAGATAGAGCATCAAATAAATCCACAATTCCTTGTATTCGTTTTAAATGTGATTTTTATTGGGGGAAGAGAGAGTATTAATTGTGTTCTTGGGAATAACTATAATCTCTTGAGCGGTAAAACCTTGTCAATTCTTGTGCAGCTAATCCTCAAATAATAATTCACTTAGACTGCCTTCACAACAAAAATAACTGCTTAAGCACAAATGATTGTAACTTATTTCTGTTTTGAGCTGTAAATTACACCTAAAATCCAAATGTATGGATAACTGGAAATTGTTCGGGAACTTTTCATTATCATCAAAAAAATCATAATCTCCCAATTGAAAACAAAAAGGGCAAATATTTTCAGAAGGACTGAAACTAAGAGTTCTAAAAGACACAGAAATTGGATTTGGAAGAGGAAAAGCTCTAGACAAGAATGAAAAAGAAGAAACAGAAAAAATACCAATCTCAGTGACTGCACAGAACTATTTGAACGGTCTGTGGAGGCAAGAGGGTTCAGTAAATATTTTTGTTCTGTGCTTGGGAAAGAGGCAGATAAAATGTTCACATCATGAGATGTCCTATAACACACTCCCTGTTTTCACAATATTCAAGGAGAAGGTTAAACAGTAGTTATACTCAAATCTGGCTTTTTTAAGCCAGAGGCCCAGATAGCATACATCCAAGAGCTCTGAAAGAACAGGCCAGAGGATTGTTTATCCTTCATAATGATTTTTTTTTTATATATAGTTCTTGGAAAACAGGAAAGGTTCCAGAGGACTTGAAGAGCACTATGGAACTACTTTCTGAGAAACAGACATAATTTTCTCAGTCTGACATTAGGCTTGAGTGAAATAATAAAACTATTGAGGTAATTAATTTAATAAACTTAAAGGGTGGTAATTAATGATAATGATTCTTGGTTCTCAGAAAATAGGTTTTATCTTATAAACTTGAATATTCTTGATGTACTTGAGAGTTTTGAGAATAAAATAGAGTTAAAACCGGTTCAGCTTTGTAACACAAGTAGCTTTAAACTTGCATTGTATCATATTTTAGTCAGCTGGGATGATGCAAAGTCGATATAGCACCTAAGAAGTGTTTAGCAACTACCTGATAAGCTTCATGTAATTGTAAATGTTTCGATGATACTGCCTTGAGATCAGATTTTGGTCTTGTTTTATTTAGCTTTTAATAGTGATGTAGAGCTCCAGCAGGGGAGTCTCTAAGGCTGGAGGTGGGGTCTACCTTCCTGTGGGGCAGGGACATCCCCTCGAGGGAAGAAGTGTGGTACGTGGATGAAGGCGTCATCTCAGGCTAAGCCATCCATCTCCATTTGTCAAGATACCCCTAGATATTGTTAAGTTATTTTAGCTTTTTGCTAAAAGCACAGGCTGGGAAGTGGGTGCTGTGTAACGAGTGGGACCAGTGACTGTTGTGAAACAAACAGTGTCACACCCCTTCTCCTGGTCACCCTTGGGTCTTGGTACAGCCAGAGGGGAAGATTTTGTCTGAGACTGAAGGCTGCAATCTGTGTTTTTTAGAAAGTGTGAGAATGTATCCTAGAAAGCAGTAGAAATCCTCAGTGATGCATTTGAGTTGTTGTTGCTCTGACCCACGGGGTAACTTGCTCTGGACTGAGAGCTGCAGCTGTGGCTCAGGACAGGCTGCACTCCTGAACCTGACAGCTGCTCCTGCTTTCTCTTCCCTCTGTGGGAGTGAAGGGTGTTCTCCTGCCTTCATAGTCCATGTCAAGCCAAGTTTCCTGTGGAAAGTCAATTTAAAAGGAATGAAACCTGTCCTCTTCATTCCTGCATCACGGTGTTGTAGGTGACTGGGTATCCAGTTTCTATATGGAGCTTGTTTTGTATTGAGTGGTCCATCTGTTGCCTCTTTCATCCAGAATGAAATCCTCTCACTACTACTGAAATCTTGAAACTGAGATTTGTGAGATTTTCATCACAGTTGCTGTGGTCAAAAAGGGTCTTTCACTTTCCTTGCACTGGCCATAGTTCTGTATTTCCAGAGGTGGAGGCTGGCAGTGGTTACTCACATGTTTCAAATGCTAGTAGCAAATATTTTTAGTACTTCTGTAGTGTTTTTTATATTTTCTATTGCTCTGTTTGGCACACTATCAATTACAGAATTATTCTTTAATAGCTCTCTTGCATTTTTATTAATAGTAAGTTATTCTGATTCATAGTAAAAAAAAAAAAAAGATGATAGAGTGAAGCTGGTCTGTTAAAGACAACTTTAAATATTCTGCCCATCTGTTTCCTGTGTCACTTGAATTATGAATGTTTTGCTATCTCAGCTTCGCTTTCCTTTGTCCCCTTTGCTCTCTTAAAATTTCTCCAGAGGGTTTTAGTAACTTAATAGGAAATTATAGCATGGAATTGGTAATATCAGCTTCAAATGTTGGGTTTATGAGATACCTTTTTTCATCTGATCATTTCCTCTCTACTGTTCTTTATCTCCTTTGCCTTTTCAGACCTGTGGTTTCTCTAAGTGTATAGAAGTTTCTCCTCTCTCTGTTGCCCCCCTTCCCTGAAGACCCCACCGTGGCTTTACTGAGCTTTGCTGAGGTGACCACCTTGCTGTGACTTCAGTAGCTGAAGTCACACTAGTTCTGAGCAATGCATCTTTTTCTTCAAGTTTGGTGTTTCTCATCTTCACCGCCTCAGAGGTTGTCTGTGAACTGTTTATTAATGCAAACTGAATTTCGTCCAAGTTCTCTTCTATTTTTAATACCATGCATTTGCACTTTTTTAATTTTATTGTTTTCAGTTGGGTAATGCAGAGGTTATATTAAGTTCTGACAGCTGCTGTTCAGATTATAATTTCACTTTGTATAGATAGTTTAAATCTCAGGTTATTGCAGCTGTGGTCAAAAAATTTCTGTGTGGTAGTGATTTTATAATGCCATGTTATTTTGGGGGTCTGGTTTTTTTTTTTTTTTTTGGTTTGTTGTAGGGGGTTTGTGTGTTGGGGGACAGTAGGGTGTTTGTAATAACTCTGTCAGACATTAAGCATTTCAGTGATTTTTTTTTTTCTGTGTTGGATGGTGCCTGATCAAAGCTGCTGCATCGTTCTTTCACTCCCTTTGAAATTCCAGTCTATTCTGGCTTTAGACTCACCCGTCTCAAGGAGTAAACTGTGTGGTGTTTTGGCAGATGTACTTTGGAGAAGTTGTTAATTATGCCTCTGTGTTTCTCTGACCTTCTGTCAGAGGTACAAAGCTGGCACATGTTCTGAACTGAGTGGCTGACTTGGTTTGTCATGATGGCCACCAGTTTTTCAGGATACTTTGCTGCAGCCTGGGGTACAGGAGGTGTTTTCCCATTTTCTTTAAAGTGTTTTTCATAACAATCAGTCTGATCTGATCTCAACTCTCAAGTTCATCTTACTCGTGGTTTGTGGTATAACTTCATTTTAAGCTCTCACATGCCAGCATCCAGCTCTGCAGTGTTTCTCAGTGCAGCATCAGAGGTTCTGTTTTAGAGAGAAGCTCTGTTGCTGGGAGTTCCATCTAACAGAAGTCATCTGTGCTTTCTGCTGGAGACTGTTGTTACCAGAACAACTTTCTTGTTGCAGCCAGTGGGTTTTATAAAGACACATGATCAAATTACGCATTGGAAACATCCCATTTTGTGGGATGTGGCAACAGTTAGTGAATCAAGTGAGGTTGGAAGAATGATTTGAATAGCGTTCAGTTGGAAGAATTTTGAAGTAGTTGAGTCATTTTTAACAAAAATGTAAGGGGTGGTTTCATCAGAAAATACTTTCCTGGTGATGGTAACTGGGTACTGACTCTAGGCTAAGCTTAGAGTGAGATTTTTCAGGCCCTCTGTTCTAGGAAAAGTTAAACATACAGTGACTTATCCACATGGAAGTATCCAGTGAAAGACTGGAAATACAAGCAGTGAGGTTCTCGCTGAAGTTACAGACAGGGGTGTTGACACAAAAACTCACTGGGGATGGGGCATTTCCTCTGTTGCTCAGAAAAATGGATTATACAGCAATGGCTCCTCTTGGCTCCAAGACGTGTAAATCAGAGAGGGGTAGGTGGTGGTTCAGTTCAGTGTCTGTAGTTGTAGTTGTGTTTTGTGACTCAGCAGGGGTTTTTTTGGCTGAGACATTGTCATTTTCTGACTTTTGCTCTGCCACAGTGCTCAGCACCGGACTGCGCTTCCTCATCTCCTGTGAAATGATCATCCACCTGATAAGGTTCTTCTCCATTTCTAGTTGAAACCTACTTTTTCTGTTAAATTTTGTCACTTGCTTGTATTTAAAATGGCTATATTTCTAACTAATAGTGGCAATGTTGTAGGTTTGGCAGGCAAAGTGGGAATAATTTTGAATAATAGCAAATTTTACACTGAAAATTCTTGATTAAAATATATGGGCTTTATTTGCATCTTAAGTTACAGTTTCTCTTTATACAACATTATTTTGCATAGGAGATTACACCAATATGTACTTATTTTATTTGTCAAGCATTGACAGAGGCAGCTCTTCTTTCTTTTTAGGAATCTGGGTAAAAATGGCTTATCTAACAGTAGTATTCTATTGGATAAATGCCCACCTCCACGACCACCGCCTCCACCATACCCTCCCTTGCCAAAGGACAAGCTGAATCCACCTACACCTAGTATTTATGTAAGTAAATCAAGTGGCAGAAGTGCACTGCTGCCTGTCTTTTGTAATTGTTTGGATATCTGAATTATGTAATGTAATTATTTTAAAGATGCACTGTTCATCACTGGGTTTTAATTACAATGCTCTCCAGACTAGCATATAAGCAGGAAAAATGCTAACCCTAAAGAAAATTTTGAGACATGGTTTGACTCTTAAAGTACTTGTAAAGTAAGAATTTCAGTAAACAAGGAGCAAAGTGCTTCAGACTTTTTTTATTTTTAATACTCAAAATGTTGGCAGAATAAGCAGAACGTTTCATTAGATACAAATGCACAGTGTTTCAAATATGTATGTACAGGTTTTTTTAAGTGACAGCTTATGTATAAATGAGCAAGTAACTCAACTAAACTCTCATAACAATCTGCTCCAAAATATAGTGAAGAAAAATTAATAAAAGACCAAGTGATGCTAAGAACAAAGTGTCATTAGGAAAAGGCAGGGTTTGGTTGGGTAGTATTTTCTTAGGCAGGCATTAAAACTTCTGTTCTGGAAGTAAAGTTTCATAATAGCTTTATTGAGCCAACTTCCTTAGTGATAGAAGAATAAATTATAGGATATCCACTTCCTTGATAACAGAAGAATAAATTACAGTATGTGCATACAACCAATGTGAAAAGCTCAAGTTAGCTTTGGTCAGCTCAGTCTGGGGGCCAGAAGAGGTTGGTGCTTCAGTTTAATACTGCAGGAGTCTGCCTGAGAGCCAGGTTGAGTTGGATGGGATAACTGGATGGTTGTTGCACCTGAATTCATCTACCTTAATAAAAGACTGTCACAGTGTTGTCCATCCAAAGTACACCGTGAGAGTAGTCTTTTAATTAATACCATTTCTTGTATACATTATGTGTAGAATTAGCTTTTTTTTAACTTCTGAAAAGGAACTGTTTTATCTTGCTCTTCAGAGAATTCTGTAGATTTAGGGAATGTACAAGGCTACTGTCAAATAAAGAAATTAAGTGCAGGAAACCTGAGTTGCAAAAGCTAAAGCAGCCTGGGAATAATTCATGCCAAGAAACAAATTACAGTAACAAATTAATTTCAGGAGTGAACCCAGCATTAACCATAGAAAGAATTGTGTGATGTAACTTTTCATTGCCCACAGTGAGGGGAAATGGAGAAAATTCCTCTTTTCTTTCTTTTGTTTCTCTTTTTACCTCCTTTTTTTTTTTTCTTTCTTTCTTATTTTACAACTAAGGAATCTAAATTGATCTGACATCTAACATTCCATTATAATTTTGCAGTTGGAAAATAAACGAGATGCTTTCTTTCCACCTTTACATCAATTTTGTACAAATCCAAACAACCCTGTTACTGTAATACGTGGCCTTGCTGGAGCGCTTAAATTAGGTAAATTTACTTTATATTTTTTTTACTTTGGGGGGGGGTGGGGAAGTATGTTTTTTTAAAGAGAAATCCCTCAGTTCTTAAAAGTGGATGTTTTATTTCTGTAATACTGTATTACTTGCATATTCCAAATCATTAGGGTAATGTGTCATTTCTCGATTTGCTGTTTTTCCTGATCTTGATTGTGTCAAAAAAAACCTACCACAAATAGAGCAGATTTTGTTGAGCACAGAGGGGAGCTGAGCTGTGGATATGGAAATTTACAGTGAGCTGTTTTTCCTGTATAAACTGGATGCATGTCTTTGTGTTTAGATTTAATGATCTACAGTCTGACTGCGTACAACGTTTTGGAGTCTGTAGACAAATAAACTTATCAGTGCTGGTAGTAAATATGTTGCATGATGGAAGTCCATTCATAACTCTGGTCTGAAAAATACTTTCTTGGTAATAGATTTAAACATTGTTTACAGATTTGCTTACCCAAGGCCCGTAAAATATTTCTTGGAATATAATCCACAGAGTAGCTGCCAAGTTTAGAATAAACTTCTACTGTTGTGTTGAGAAAAATCTTTTGAGTGTTAATCACCAGTGTTAATAATTAATGTACAGGTGGGCAGTGTCGTGAAGGCTGAGGGAGAAAAGTGCTTTAGGGTAAACTTTTAGATAACTCCAAGTATTTTATTATACGTGAACTGTCATTCATTAGTTTCAATCCTCTTTATTAGATTTAGGACTCTTCTCTACTAAGACATTGGTAGAAGCGAATAACGAACACATAGTAGAAGTAAGGACACAACTACTGCAGCCAGCAGATGAAAACTGGGACCCCACTGGAACAAAGAAGATCTGGCGTTGTGAAAGCAGTAGATCTCACACAACAATTGCTAAATATGCACAGTACCAGGCCTCCTCATTCCAGGAGTCTTTAAGGGTAAGTTCATTGTTATTATTTGTTATGGTTCACAAACTGTATATTGACTCTGGAACCAGTGAATAATGGCAATTGAAAACAAACAGAAGCTGCTGAGGGAAAGGAGACATTTCCTTAAGCATGAGGAGCACAGGTAAATTTGCAATATCTGATTTGAATAGAGGGTCAAATAGTGTCATTGTTTCCCCAAAATGTTTAGTGTAAACTTAAGTTTCATATGTAAATGTAAAACTCACAGCTATTGCATATTTTAAAAGCTTGTTAGTTCAAGCTTTCATATATTAGTGTCAAAATTCTTATTAAAACATTTGAAGTGCAGTAGGTTTTTTTTTTATTTGGGTTGCTTCTAATTTCACACATAATTTGAAATCAGATTTCTTCATTGTACTGAGTTAATTTGGATGCAGCTTATTAGAAGTTTACAGTAATATTTGTCTTTTGTTGCTTTCCAACCATAACAGTTTCTGTTTGATTTCAAAAATTTCAGACGTGTGACAGAGTGAAATCTTGGAAATAGTATTTCCCCTGCCTGCCTTGGCAGTGGGGTTGGACTTGATGGTCTCCAAAGGTCTCTTCTGACCCCGATTATTCTGTTACTGTGTGATGCTGTGAAATGTGGTTTTATTGATATTACTTTTTAATACTTGCACTGAAGTAGTGAGCACACTGCCTGTGGGCACTTCTCAAAGGCTTATGTTATCTGGTGTTACTGGTGATTAGGCTGAGATGGAACTAAGACAAGAAGATATTCTTGGCCAGTTGTTTGCTAGAAAACAGGGAAAATACCAAGGTGGGGAATTGACTGTTGTCATTTTCGCTGCCATTACGAAAAAACAGCAGTAATTTTAGGAAGAAGGGAAAGAGAAAATCCAAATTTAAATTTTATGCTTTAGAGGAAAGGATTAGAAGCAAAGAACTTAATTGGTAGTTGAAGAGAACAGAAGGGAATCTAGACAGAAGCTTTTGAGCAAGACTGACACAGGATGAAGAAAAGAAACGGGGAACCTTTGGGAAGTGTAGGGCATGGAAGTCGTCAAGAGCTTGTGACATAAATGGGATTTTGCTTCCTCTGCAGTGGTAATAAATGTAGGTAGAATATTGACTGAACTTTTTTGGTGCCCCTTGAACAGTCACACCAGCATTGTGTTCTTGCACATCATTCCAGAGGTGCTGGAAAACATTACATCACTGGAACGTTATATATATCATCATGGCTAGGCTTCACCAACAAAGATTTGAGATTATATATGTATATACATGTTTATATCTTTGATCACTTACCATGGAAAGCCTCACCTTTGGATTTGCACCAAGATACGAACTGCAGGATTTTCTGGGGTTTTTTCCTCACTTTTACAAATTGGTTGTAAAAATGCATATAATATGTTTCAGAGTGATGTTTTTCATCTTTCCCCTGGAAATTAGAAAGACAGTGTAGATGTGTCCTTTGCCCACCATTGCTTTGACCTGTCCTTAGGTGACTTTTCAGTGTTCAGATGAAAGCTTTATTTCTTCTACAGCCACAATCCTCTTGGCTTGCCTTAAGTGATCTTTTTTTCTTTATTCCTCTAACAACTATTACATTGCTTTCCTAACATGTCTTGCAGTATTTGATAAATCCATCATCACAAGGTTCCTTTTTGTTTCTCTTTGTCCTTCGTTCAAAGGATGAATAAGACTTTCTCAGGTACACAGGGCACTTTGAGGTTTAACAACAATCCCATTCAAAGCCAGAGATCTTTGGATTGACTCCAGACAGTTCATTCCTCCTTTTGGTCTCTTTCTTTTTCCTTCTCTGTCCATATACTTGCCAAAATAGAAGCCTTTAGAATAGGAGTTTGAGTGTGCTCTGCTAAAAAGATCAAATTGCATCATTTAATATTGGATGGATTTTTTTCCACTAGTCATGGTCCCAGCCACTGCAGTGCTAAAATAGCATATGGCCATGAAAAATTCAAGAGATTTTATGTAATGGATTTTATAAAATTGGTTTTATAAATGTTAGTCATCCCGGTTTCATATAGGGATACCTGCCTGACTTTGAAGGAAGGTGGATGTTCTAGTCTGAAAAAATCAACAGTATTCCTTGAGGATTCACTTGCATAAGGAAGCAGAACAACAGACTCATTTGCACCTCTGATGCAGGCCCGAAATGTTTACAGTGTAGGCATTTTCTGTTGTCCTGGCCTGAGTTTCAATGAATCTGCAATCATGAAGAATTGTTTTTCTAACTTTTTTATCATTTTCTTGACAGAAATATCGACACAAAACCTCAGATACAGATATTTCAAAGATTGTTTCAGCATATTGAAACAAATGTACTTTTATCCATGACCTCATTATCACTTTATACCTATATATTTTACATATGTTCTTTTATGTGTGTGTGTATATATATATATATATATATATATATATATAAACATTTTAAAATTGCATTTTGTAGGAGGAAAATGAGAAGAAGAGTCACCACAAGGACCACTCAGATAATGAATCCACATCTTCTGATAAGTAAGTGTGGTACAACTGTGTTAATTCTGTAGTTGGTTCTATGTGGTATTTTACATTTCCATTTTTCACATTTGCCTGTTTGTATTTTTTACACTTGTAGCTCTGGGAGGAGGAGAAGAGGACCTTTTAAAACAATCAAGTTTGGGACCAACATTGACCTGTCAGATGACAAGAAGTAAGTTGATTACAGTTTCTGCTGCTCACAGTCGTGTTGTACGGTGTAATACCCCTGGAAATCCAGGATATTCTTCGCAGACATCAGTCAGTCTGTTGATAAACCCAATTCCAGTTGCACACTCCCTTTCCACCATGAAATGGGTCTTGAAACTGTTGTTATGAGTCCTTTTCTTACACTAAAATATCTTTTCAAACTTTTCTTTCCAGGATTTTTGTTTTCCCAGAAATGAATTTAAACATCCATCAAAAACTGTTCTTTCTAGTCCTCCTTCTAATCGGTTCCCTTTGATTCATTATGAGGGTTTAAACTGTTTGCTTACAACTTTAATTACTTCTGACAACACCAAGTTTATAGTCTTTGCATAGAAATTGTAAGATTAAGGTTTGTTTCTTTTTTTGTTCGTCTGAATTTTTATTATTCAAGGTGGGATTTTTTTCCTTTCATTCATACTGTCATCTTTTCTGTTTCCACTTTCTCATAACTCTTGCTTCTTTATCCAGGAGCAAAATCAGAATATGTAATAAAGACCAGACCAGTGCTTGCCTCCGGGTAAGCTGTGATACCTCTCCCAGAGCCTCAAAAAATAGGGAATAAATGATTATTCTTTAGACTTATCCATCTGTGAGTAGATGAAGGTAGCTTAGAAAAACATCAGAAAATACCAGAAATACTCTGAAAAAAAATGGTTTTATTGTCCAGTAATAATTATTTCTTTGGTTCAGTCTCCAGTTAGTACATATTTCCATAAAAGGTCTGACCTGTCTAGACTGTCAATTCTGCCAGCTGCAGGGCAAAACGTGTGATCTGTCTCAGTCATTAGAGCAGAAGAAAAGTTTAGGGTGTCAAGGAAGTAAGGACTGCTTGAGATGATGAGGACTTTTGTGGTATAATCACTGAAAGATCAGTGTGTGTATCCACATATGTGATTAGAAGTGGTTATAAAATGTCAAATATCAACACTATTTTATTCTGAAGGAAATTCCATCCGTAGGATCAAAACGGTTGCTAATAAACTATCACTTGGAATAAACTTTTGGGAGAGAGACTTCACATTAACCTAAGCAAAACTAAGCTGTGGCTCTTAGGGAATTGGATTTTGATAATTTAAATAGTTCTTGTAGGATCCCAGTAGATGCCAGATCTTCTGATCTGTAATCTCAGCTTTTGCTGCAGAACTCTCTTTCCCCTCAACTTGCCCGTCAGATCTGTGGTCGTATTTGCAAGTATTTCAAATGGAAAGAGTAACACAGATACCTGTGCCAACAATTTTTCAAAAATGTTTATATTCCCCCAAACTCTTCTTAGAGTTTTAGGGATTCACAAGTTTGTCAATTTGCTATTTTGCTGCAGGTGGAAGTTGCAACTCCATGAACTGACAAAACTTCCTGCTTTTGTACGTGTGGTATCAGCAGGAAATCTTCTAAGCCATGTTGGTCATACCATCCTGGGCATGAACACAGTGCAGCTGTACATGAAGGTTCCAGGAAGCAGGACACCAGGTGAGTATAATTTCTGCATGAAAAAATCAGGTTCTACTGCTGAGGTATTGATTTAACTGCCCTGCAGATTTTCTGTATCTCACAGCATGCCTGAACATAATAAAATTGTACCTATTGAGTATTTCTTTTATTACTTGTTTAACTGAACTCTATGTGTACAAAGTACTGAGTTGTCTTATGGTGGAAATTTCTGGATTTCTGCAGTGGTGGATAATTGTCATACTGACTCTTACAGGCAGTGTTGGATTCTTGAAGGAGAAAAATAGGATAGGTTTACGTACCTGGATAGTATTTGGATTTTACATACCTTGAAAGTATTTATAGGCTTCCCAAGTAGGTCTTGTGCAATCATAAAAATCAGTTTATTTTTTATTGGTTTAGATCCTTTATTGTTTGAGAATAGGACTGAACCCTCCATGATGAATAGTGCTGTGTTAGGGGACTGGACTGAGACTGGAGGAATCTGGACTAAATTTCAAGATCTGTTTTTTTCTGAAGTACAACTTCAGAAAATTCCATTAGGGATTATGGCTCAGTTTTCCAGCTGTCAAAGGAAGATAAAATACTGGCATTTCTACATTGATTTTGAAAGCTCTTTCGGAAGGGTTTTCTTAGTACTTGTCTGTTTGGTGCCTGAAGTCATGAAGTTTTGCACCTGACTGGGACTGTCAAGAGATATCATGAAACAGAAAATCTGAGCTTTTGAAGCATTTATTTCTACAGGGAGAGAACTGCTGAAATATTGGTCAGATTCACAAGATTGATAGTTCCAACTTTTCATTTTCCACAAACTAAAAAAGGAGAATTCTCTTGTCACTGGTAGCTTAATTGTGTGAGGCACCTAAACAGCGTTATGTGTCATATAAAAAATACAAATACGAAAACTGTGGTGTAAGTTTTTTTAGTAATTGTATCTTTGCATTTTCATGGCATTATTTTGATAGAAGAGTCTTATATAAAGTGTGCTTATTTTTCTCTATCAGGTCATCAAGAAAACAACAACTTCTGTTCAGTAAATATAAATATTGGTCCAGGAGACTGTGAATGGTTTGTTGTCCCTGAGAGCTATTGGGGTGTCATGAATGACTTCTGTGAAAAGTAAGCTGGCTGTGCTGTTTTTGTCTGTATTTTTATCAAGTTCTCTGTGCCTTTCTGAGACCTGAGGGGGGGAATTACCGAGGGTGGGGGGTTGTGTGGGGATGTTAGTTTATGGGTTTTCCATGTAGTCAGAAAAGTATTTTAAAGTCAAAATGCAAAATCTAGAGTTTATACCAAATGTGACGTTTTTACAATGTACAGAAACTTGGATTGCCGCTGGTAGCTTTGCTCTCAAAAATTAACATTGGAGTCCATTACTTGTTGTTGCTTTGTTTTTTTTTTCAAAATAAATGAAGGAAATACAAGAGGTGAGCGATTGGTAGTAGCAAATGCTCATCCAGATTCAAGATTCACATTTATACTGCATGAAGGGGGCTCAGAAGTTTAGCAGCTGCCTGCTACCAATGTGTACTATATGGCATCATTCCAGTTTTCGTAGTGGTAATTTTTCCACATCAGAAAATCCATCATAGCCCTGCTGTTTATCCAGGCACTCTGTCCTGCATGTTCAAGTTGACCTCTGCTATTGCTATTGTAATTCACTGGAAAATCTGAGGTACCCTGAGCAGTGGGGGGGCTGCTCAGCCAGCTCTTAAGATGAGGGTTTCTGTGTTGTGCCCTGTGCAGGCTGGTTGCTTGAAAAACAAAGAAAACAGTGCATGTTTGCACATGCACCCACAAAAAATAAAGGTGGAGGAGCAGCAGTGGTGTCCCTTAATCGTGCTGGTATTCAAGCAGTAGCCTCTAAAGTTGATTTCGTGAGAGAGATGGTTTTTTTTTTCTTGTCTTGCCCAGTTAAACCTGGATTAAGCTCTTGACTTTAGAACTTTTCCAGAGCTCTGCAAATACATCTCAGTGTCTCTGTTGTACTCTGTATTTTCTGCCTATCTGCTGACAACTGCTTTTATTTCATCCAGCTTTCCAAGGATTGGCCATCTCAAAACTGTAATTCCACTGATGCAGTTACAGTGTCTCTGACACAAAATGCCTTTTACACTCATGACACTGTCTTTCTGAGGGTGACAGAGAAACTGAGATCTTGGTAACCTCACAAAAGGTCTGCACTGCCTGGTGAGAGGCACTGAATTGTCTTTGCAAACTGTGCATTGCAAGTAATCTCTCATGGTGCACAGTAAAATGACTTTATTTTGCGTTACCTTAATGGAAGAGTCCCTGCTTGGGAAGTCCATATGGAGGTGTTTTTCCATGATTCCCAGGAGAGCTGACTTTCTTTGGCTGAACATAGCATAGGCCTGTGGATCACAGTTGAAATTTTGCCAAGAGGTTGCTTGTTGTGTGGACAAGCTTCACATTCACACACAGACAGTGCGAGTACATGTTTCAAATCTGAGCGTCCTTAGGAGCTGGTATGGTCTGTATGGAAAATCAAGCACTGGTTAAAAAAGCAGCATCCAGCACCAGTGTCACACTAGATCTGATCAAGGGTTTCTCTGCCTCGGCATTAGTGAAGTACTGGGAACCTTAAAGGAAAATAGATCATAACCTGAAGCCATAATCTGACTTCACTCGGGCAGTTGGATGGTTAGGTGTTCCGTTGTTGCAGGATGTGAAATGTGGAATTATGGTCAGGAATTTTATACGTGAAACTTTTCCTTTTGACTAATCTTCCTGGGTCACTGATTAGCTGCAGAAAGCATTTATGGTGCTGATGAGTTTTTACAGGTAATTACACTGAAGTATCTGCCATTACCGTGTCTGTTGGTAAATGCTGAAGACTTTCCTTTCCTGTTGTTTCAGGAACAACATGAATTTCCTAATGGGATCTTGGTGGCCAAACTTGGAAGATTTGTATGAAGCCAATGTCCCAGTTTATAGATTTATTCAGAGACCAGGGGATTTGGTGTGGATCAATGCTGGCACTGTTCACTGGGTTCAGGCTATCGGTTGGTGCAACAACATCGCGTGGAACGTTGGCCCTCTTACAGGTATGTTTGAGCGGTGCCTGGGCTTGAACTGCTTAATTAGGTGACATTATAGTGCTTGTGTCACAGAACCTACAATTTCTTGCTAATTTACCATGCTTTAGTAGATTAAAAAATAATTAATGTGCTGAATTTTTAAAACATGATGTGTTGAAGGCTGTAAATAATTCCATTCTAAGAAGAAGGGGAAAAGCAGGAAGAATGTAGCCTTGGCACTCAAGCTTTTAATGGGCCTGTGAGAATAAGTTGTTTATATTAATTGATACATTGTTTTGTTAGGCCATTTCTTAACTTTTTTCTCCCGAAATTTGTTCTCCCAGCAAACTGCTCTATAGCTTGTATAAGAGTTTAAGGACTAGTCCTCTAACTTTGGTGGGGGTACTTGATAGCTCTTTGGTGAAAACATCAGGAAATACAAGAACTTGTGAAATTTTGTTATGAAAGAACATTAGATTTTTCAGACCTCCTGTTCTAGAAGTCTTTAGTTTTGAACTGTATCTTGAAAGGTTTTTAGATTTGAGCGTGGAAAGAAATTTCGGTTAAAATGAGATTCTATCAAGCATCTGAAGAGAATGTACTTCAAAAAAACTTCTGGGTTTTTTAGGTAGTTTAAAGTGTGCCTTTATATGGTGCAATAACAGTATATCTCTGGGATTGTATGATTGACTGATACAGAGCTCACATGTTCAGTCACAGTAAATTTTGTAAAACATTTTTAAAAGAAGGGTGGGGTGAGTAGGCTGCTTAATGAAAAGTCTGACTCACTGCAACAAATCTCTCAAGGAGAGATTATATACCATAGCAGTGTAAAATTATGATAAAGAATGAACAGAGGGAGATGCAGACATTTCAAATCTAGATTTTTTTTTTTTCCTGTTATGGAACATTTGAAAGTTTAGTAATTAACTCTTTTTGAAATACTGCACTCTGTTCACCTTAGAAATGGAACACTTGTCAGTAACTTGTTTTCCCAGGTATTTGTTGCTGCTGTGGTATTTGTTCTTTTAACATTATAAATACACTTTTTAAAAAGACATTTTATAGAATTGAAATGTAGTTGCAACGAGTGGGTCATTGCAAATGGAGTTGAGCTATGAAAGATATAATTTTGTATTAAAACCAAATGATCTTGGTTGATAATTGTTTCTTGATTAACTGCTACTATAATTTTTGTTTTGTGCAGCCTGTCAATACAAGTTGGCAGTGGAACGGTACGAGTGGAATAAGCTGCAGAGCGTGAAGTCCATAGTACCCATGGTCCATCTTTCATGGAATATGGCTCGAAATATCAAGGTCTCAGATCCAAAGCTTTTTGAAATGATAAAGTAAGTTCCACTTATTTGAACATCTCTCGTATGCTTTTCATACATAAGCCAGTAGTTGACTTGTGAGTAATTCTTTGTAAGACCTCCCCGTTCCTGAGAACCAAACTAAAATTATTTTGGGTCCTGTTTTTCAAACACACCATTTATGGATGTCCTTAATTTTGTTATGTTTTGTGTGATGTTATTGTGGCATAACTTTAGAATCATCTCAGGAATGTTTTAGTTAAATGTGCCATAGCCTTAAGTCAGCAATTTACAGAAACAGTTGACTTGGATCACAACAGCTGCTCAGAGTACATACGATCAGAAATTAAAAAATTAGGTCATCAACCCAAATATTAGAATATATATTCATTTTTACGGCAAAGTTAAACTTAATTTTACATTTCTAGAACTTCTGGTTAGTGCTCTCACTCTGTCACTTGGAGATCCAGAATAAATCTTTTAAATAGAGGCAAGTAGGAATTTGAAAACCTCCTTCCCTTTGCTCTTTCTTCTGAACAATGATTTGATTGATGTGCAAAATGATAATTGAGTTTAGTGACATTTCTCATACACATATTCCAAAATGCAGGAATATTCCAGGCTTTAAGCATCTTCAGTGATTTTTCTTTGAAGAGTCCAACTTCAAGAAAATATAAATCATATTGCAGCAGGCTGAGGAATGAATGAGCATTTCAGCATATAACCTATAGGTTTGTCTTAAGGAAAGTGGGGGGATGAATTCCAAAGGAAATTACTCATCATGAGAATCCTCTGCTAGCAGCATTCTCTAGTTTCCCCAAGTACCAAAGCACTTCTGAGCATTTCTTAGTCTTATCAACATCCTGGATCCACAAGCGTTGAATCCTTTTATTATGTGCCTCGAAATGGATCCTTAAAAAAACAGGTGAATTGACTTGCAAATAAAAGGGCAAAGAAAAAGAATTTCTATTTTTTTCCCCCAGTAGGATTTACTGGTGACATCTGAGTGAGACACCTTTTTACAGTAGGAATTTAATTTAGGCTTGAACATCTGTTGCAGAATGGTGGAATTGGTGAAATGTTAAATTTATAAGGGCCAAGAATGTTGGAAGTAAGACAGGGAGGATTGTAGTGGCTGCAAAACTTGATTATGGGATAGCATTTATGTGTGAATAATTGCTTAAAATCTAGTAACTGATATCTAGGGTAAAGAAAATATTTGCTGAAGGCCTGACAGTCCTGCCCCTTCAATTATGCAATTAGTGCTCATATTCCAAATGCCAGCTGTCATAAAAGGGAGAATAAAAACTGAATAGTTGGAAATGAGAAAGTGGGGGAAAAGAAACAGGGTGTGGGAGGGAGGAAGCCAAAAAGTCCATTTAAAATAAAAAAAAAAAAAAAAACAGACCCACAAGCTTTACTTCACTTTTATCTTTATATATATATATATCTTCCCAAGCCCAGCAGGCATCTACTGTAAAACTCAAAGCAGTTCTGGGATGTTTTTGGCAAAACACGATTTTGATATTTTTGCCACCTCTATTTTGCATTTGCACAGGTTTGGAGGTTTTTTGCCACAATTTAGACATAAAAGGAGAAAAACATGACTGAGCACAGCATCCTTCTCCCAGAGAATCTTTTAAAACGTTGTGAAGAAACACAGAGGACAAAATGGTAGTTTCCCGTTGTCTTGCTGGCTGACAGCAGCTCAGCTTTTTCTAGCAAGAGACCTAAACTTTGGTTGTACATTACAAATAAACAGAGGTGCTGAGGAGCAGATAGAAACCTTGGTCGTGCATGCATTCACTTAACCAGTCCCCTGAACCCATCCGTTTCCAGTTTGCTGGGATCAAACCCTCCTTCCAGGTTAGTTGGCAGACAGATCCCAAGTTCCATGCGCTGTGTGCGTGGAGGGGAAGAAGATGGGATGATCAGCTCTGGTTTGTAGCATCCAGTAGCAGAAATCTGAGATAACTCTTCGTGGTGGTTACTCCTGTAGTTATGGCATAGCTTTTACCAGAAATGGGTGTCACCACAGTCTGGTGTCCGGCCTTGGCTTTGTAGTCATACTGGAAATGCAGAAATCTTTCTTAAGATATGAGAAAAGTTCCCTAATTTTCCCACGGACTGTTTGTCTGCAGGAAAACAGCACCAGCTGGGAAGTGGCTGTTGCCCACTGCACCTGGATTTTCTTATGTACAAAGTATAGACATTTATGTGTTTTATATATGTGAGTGTGTTTATGCCTGGGCATAGAAACACCTGAAAAATAATGATTTTTGATAGAGCTGATTGAATTTCTTCTTAGATAGCTGACTTAATTTGTCATCAGAAAATAAAGATAAGTGACACAGCTGTCATCTTTTTGCCAAGCACAGGTGTATCTAAAATTGCACATCGAAGATACGTGAAGTGTTTAGGTAGCTTTGACTTCTGTCTCTGGGGCTTCTTGGGTATCAGAGTAGTACAAAAGAATAACTCTTGGAAAGCGGTAAAAAGTAGCATTTAATTCAATTTGAAATATAAATACTAATATATCTTAGTGGGTTATGTGAGAGTAACCACTGCAGAGGCAATAAAGTAGAATTTGAGCATACATCTAAATATAGGGAGCCAGATTAGCAATGAAAAGAGACAGGATAGCAGAAGGGAAAAAGTAATAGAAGGAAACTTTGCTTTTGGAAGAAATCTGAAGCCTTGTTATATTTTTAGTTAATGTGCAATTCAGTGCTGTCTTGATAGATAAAAGGCAAAGAGCAAAACCTGAAACCTTCTCATGAGATGTTTTTGAAAGATTAGCTTTTAACAGTAGAATCGTGAGCAGGAACACAGCAGACAAAACAATTTAAAGCTTGGCTGAGGGAGGACATCCCTCAAGAAAAGAAAAATTAACTGCAAACCTCTTCTTAGATGGAAACCAGAAGGACTTTTACAAATGTATCTGAGGAAGAGAAGAATTTTAGAGGTAGTGCGAACACAGTAATAAAGGCTTAAAAAATTAATTCCAAAGTCACTGAAATACTAAGTTCTTTTACAAAAATAGTTTCAGAAGCATAAAAGAACATGACACGGGAGAAATTATTTTGCAAAGAATCATGAAGCCAGATAAAATACATTTAAGTATCAGGCAAAATTTATTACTGAAGGGTACAAAGAGGTCAGTTCTGGATTGCCATTGGAATGATCACACTTTGAGAAGTTTTACCTCATATCTGAATATTCAAACACTTTTCTCACTGTCCTTCTAGAATAAGTCAGCATGATGTCCATTTTTAAATCTTCTGTTAAATATTTGAATTTTACTGGCCATGATTTACTCATATCTTCATGCCACACCTCTAAAGAATTTGAGAGAGAGGGTGTAGATTTTCTTTTAACTTCACTGAACAAGAATAAAAGCAGGTCTGCAGTACTAAAAGCTGACCCCATATAACTTGCACATTGTGACTCTGCTAGGCACCTTTTTGGCTTTCTTTAGGCTTCCCAAACTTCAGGAATAGTGCATTTTCAAAGGCACAGTTTGTATGCTTTCTCCCATACTTGACAGTATGAAATAGTTAACATTTATATTTTTAAGTGCCATTACTAGGACCTGAATTTTATCCAAGGAGAGGAATCTCACCTTCTAGCTATTGTTTTCTGCTTTGGTTGCAAATGTGGCAGACATTGCAGTGATGCTGTAAGTGGTTACATTTTGGGCACTTCTCTTTTCACATCGGTAACACCAGAAAGCTCTTCCAAAATAACACTTTTGAAAGTTCTTGGAAGTCAGGAGTGGAGAACAATGGTGGCAAGTCTGCAGGTGTGCTTCCAGTTGCTCTTTGGCATCCCAGATAACAGCAGGCAAGAAGAATGGTGGCTTTTTAAGTTTATTTGACATAGGACTGTATTGCACAAAGGAATGGTTTTCCAGAGTTACTGAGCTTGTCAGGGGCACGATAACCCAACACTCGGTGAATCAATACATCATCCACCACACGTTGTTGGCCTTGACATCGTAAGTCCCACTCACATCAAACTTCAGAAGTGTTGAAGGAGTCACAGCTTAATGAGCTGTATAAGTTCCTTGACATTTGGTATACAAAAATCAGATGTTTAACAAGAGAAACACACTTTTCAGTTTTGGGTTGCCCTTACAATGAGGGTGTTGATGAAGCCATAGATTTGTTTTTTAGTGAGGATGAACAATATGAGTGTAAAACAAGAGGAGAGTATCTCAAAAGTAAACCCAAGATTCTGTTTCCAACTATTTGGAAACACATGAAAGAAACTTTAAAAAAAATACACAATGTACCTATTACATGTTTAAGGCTTTAAAATGGGAGGATCGAGTTGAAAACATTTGATAGAACTCTTGAGCACTTTGTTTTCTGTCCAATGTTTGTTTTTCCCTTTAATTTTTTTCAATCTTCCTTCTACTTCTAATGAGCATGTAACGTAACCACCCTGTGGAGGAGAAAATTAAAGGCTGCAAAGACTGCAGCTCAAATAAATAGGATAGCTGAGAGCTAAAATTATTGTAAATAACATTGTAATTTACAAATCTGGTGACCTATTTTGCCAGCTTTTTTTTTTTTTTTGAGAATGTCTGTAGCCCATAAAGTGCTAGAGAGCAAGTTACATTTTCTTGTACAGAAGAGAACTGCAGAGAATTGTGTCCATAAAATCATTATTTATATTTTTTTTTTAGCTTTTCTAAAAGTATGACAGGGAATTATGGATTTTAATTTGACATTTGAGTGGTTCTTTTCTTCATTCATAAAAAATAAGTGTTAGACTAATTTTTTCTGTAATTTTTTTTTTTAATTGAAGGACTTACTTATTAAATACCAACCTGCCTGTTCATTTTCCTTCTGCATGGAACAAGATACATGTTGATAGAGTCTGTTTCTATTGTTTGTAAAATGATTCCTGGCAGAACTTGGGGTTTCAGACTTGGGATCGTTGAAATTAGTAGTGCTGAGGAAGTAACAGGGTTTTTAGGATGTTAAAACAGTTCTGTGGATCAGGCTGCCGTCACACAAAACGTAAACAGTTGTGTTGAACTTGGCAGTTCAAGCTTTGTGCTGACAGATTTACAGTTCAAAATAAAATACATCAGTTCTTTTGGAAACAAATTGTTTTATTGTGCTTAAAAGGGCATTCATGCGTTTCAGTCCCAAAAAAAAAAGGGTACAAAAAAGAAAAAGGTACAGCAGGGCAAGGGGCCGTACTGACGTGGAACAAAACTACACAGAGGTCCATAAGCACGTGCTGTGACTTCTCCCTAAGTCTTGAGTCCAGTGAGTCTGACTAGGCAACTGCTTTTGAAATCCCGGAGTAAGAAGAAATTTCCCTTTTCCCAGGGAAAGAAATTTAAGCCTGTCTGAGTCTTGCTGTAAGGTTGGATGTTGAACTGAACACACAACTGGTTTTGGTTGCAGGTACTGCCTGTTAAGAACTCTCAAACGGTGTCAGACGCTGCGGGAAGCTCTGATTGCTGCAGGAAAGGAGATAGTCTGGCATGGGCGAGCAAAGGACGAGCCAGCTCATTACTGTAGCATTTGTGAGGTCAGTAAAAATATGTCTTGGGCTTGTGCAGTATTGATTTAAATTTTGCCCTGTCTCTTCTTGTTGTTGTTGCTGTTTAAATTTTGCTTTTAAGTTGCAGCATCTTCTCTGTGCTCTGAGCACATTTATATGATGCAGCACTGTCTTCAAAGAGCTTATCCAGAAGTTTTTCTGGACAGAGGCTGCAGTCTCTCCCACAGTACTTCCACAGCATTGTTCTTCACTAGGTCGATTTCCAATTCTCAGTTATTATATCCCTTCCTGCATGTAATTTGATCTTCTGGGCTTCATTTTAAAGGTGTATCTGTCTTCATTTCAGAAGTAAGCAACACCCCCAGAAGAGAGAGAATTATTAGTGTATTTTTTTCACAGGACATATCTTTTTGCTGAAATTTTTTATTCTACCTTCTGTTACTAGTTGCTTTAAACTATGGAATAATAATTTCCAAGCTTAAAAGAAAATAAAATCTTCCTACCCCCTGAAAATCAGTTTCTGGTTATCTTCTGACTGAGCCTCTTGGGCAGGATGAGCACGTGACTCAGTAGTAAGAAAATAAATCACAACCTTCTTTTGCAGGCAAATTTTAAAAAGGAAAATTAGGTGTAATTGTTATAAATCCCCACCTTAGTGAGTAAGCCCTATTCAGCATATGAATCCTGCTTTGTCGATATTGACCCAAAGCTTTCCCGTAGCACTGTTCATGCAGACATCCTAAGTGCAATATTAGTGGTTTTACAATATTTCACCCCTCTGCCTGAGCCTTGAGAGAATAGATTTTTTCCCTGAACAATTCTCATTTTTCTCTTTGCACGCACTGGCTAAGGTTGTAAATCTTGAAGAAAATACAGTTTTTCATGGTTTAACTTAAAAAAAAAATTAAAGAAATTGTAACACTCTACTTCATGTTTCCCTTCTCGTAGGTGGAAGTCTTTGATCTGCTTTTTGTCACTAGTGAGAGCAATTCTCGAAAGACCTACGTTGTACATTGCCAAGACTGTGCACGAAAGATAAGCACGAACCTGGAAAACTTTGTGGTGCTAGAACAGTACAAAATGGAGGACTTGATGCAAGTCTATGATCAATTTACATTAGTAAGTCAAATTAATAAGTGGGTGCATAAATACATTATTTGTAAAGCAGTTGTAGACTGTCTTGGTGCTCCACTGTACGAGTACCGTGGACTTTCTGATGCAAATGGAGGTATGGGTTGTGTGTGATATTTACAGAACAAAACGCTGAAGAGTCAGAATTGTGTGAAATACTTCAGTAACTTACAGCAGAACGTAACCACTGAGTTTTCAGGAAAAGTATGATGTTACAATTCATAAAGTTGTGGCTTTAAAAATCCAATAGAGATCACCTGAAGACCATAACTGGATCAGATGGAGATGGGAAGAATCAGGACAGTGAAGCTTGGAGAAACTAGCACCAGGTTCAAGAGCATCTCTAATACATTGGTTGTGGTATGAAGTCAGTATAGCAGCAGAGCATCCTATGCACTCAGACCCCTTCCTTCCCCTTCCCCACCCATCCCTACTCCCAAATCAGCACTGTCCTTCTGCTTAGCAAGTGGATGCTCTCAAACAGTTCTGTCTTTTTGGCTTGGGGCCTCCTTTGCATTTCAATTTAAAGCAAAAAGCCTCTTTGCCATTATAGCTTTGTGCTATATATGGCAGCCTCCTGCTTTGAACTGTGTCAACACAACTGTCCTAACATTTCACCCAGGTTTCATTGTTTCAGGCAAAGATGGCTTTTTTGTAACCACGATGAAAGCGATGCTGGATGTATTTATAAGCCTTGCCTTTCTGTCAGAGGAGACAAACACTGGACTAAGTGTTACAAGAATTTCATGTTGAATTTATTACGACAGCCCAGTAAGGGGCTGTACCTTTTGGTTCATTTCCAGGTGCTGCAGAAAATGTGTGTTTAGTTATTTCATGTACTGTTAGCATGCTGAGTTGTGACCTTTTGAGTTAAGGCCTCAAGGTTCAGCAGTAGAGGCTGGTGAGAGTGTGGGACCATGTCCTCTGAATTTAATTCTCTTCATTAGTCCTACAGAGCCTGAGATGGTTGAACTTCAGTTCATACTTCTAGGAGGTCACTGTCGTTATAGTTTGTGGAATACTGCAATTTCAAAGTGATGATCTGTTATAGAAAAGCATATAAATAAACACCTGTTCTCAGATACTTCATCCAGCTGAGTGGAAATGGGGAATAATGTTTGTGTGGGGGAGAAGAGAGGGGGAGGGAGGAGCATTTTGTTGTCTGTGTTTATAACACTGTGTAGGTAACAGCAGTGATATTGTCCCTAGAACAAGGGTTCTCAACCTGTGAGTAGCTCCTTCCCCCACCAGAGCCTGAGGCTGCGGCCCCGGAGGACAGCAGTGATTGTTCTCATGTGAAATTGGTGTGCTCATTCATTTCTTTTAAAGGGAATACAGTCTCCATTGGGAAGAGTCATAGCCTAAAAAGTGACATCTCTGAGATGTAGGAGGAGAGTTAAGGTTTGTGGGAAGTCACAGGATGAGGATAATTTCAGAGAGCAAAGGTACAATAGGCCAGAGAGACTGATGGCATCAAGTGCAATACTGGGGAGTAGAAAGGTACCTTCTAGACCTTGACTCCTGAAAGAAGGCAGGAAGAAGACACTTGGCTTCACTCTTGAGGCACTTTGTCCCCATGTCAGAGAATCTGAGACCCTTTCCACCGATACCCTCACCTGAGGGGTGTATGGTTTTGTGTAGGTGAAAGAGGGGAACAAAATTAAGGCGTTTGGAGAGCCACAAATGGACCATCCCCTTCCCACTTGTAAACAGGTTGAGAATCCCTGTTTTAGAGTATATAAAGTTACATTTATACTGAGCCCACGTGGAGCTCTTTGCTGCCACAATGGGACGTGTTTTGGCAGCTCACGTCGTATTAACACAGATATCCCCACAGCACACTCCAGTCTGCAGTGTAGCCAAAATCCTGATGCAAAGTATTCACAAAATACATGTTGTCTTTGAGTAAGTTGGAAAAAAATGCCAGTATCTACTTGAAAGAGTCTTGAAGTGTAAAAAGAGTAGTGTGTGTGACTCTGAACTCTCATGGTTGCAGTTTGTGCAGGTCTTGGTTAAACACGGAGTTTTTCACCCTTGTAGAAAAGGTAATTTAATGTTTTCTCTTTCAGGCTCCTCCATTGCCATCCTCCTCATCTTGACATTTTTTCATGGACATTAAATGAAAACTTTTCTGATATTCAGGAAGTGACCCAGTTCTGCACCACTGATTTTTGTAGCTATCCCGTAAGGCTGCTGGCTGAAAGCTGTGTCTATGCAACCTTCCAAGTGCGGAGTGTCAACCAACTGGACAGGAGAGAGCACTGCCTCCTACTCCAGAACTCAAAACAAATAAAGCTCATCCAGCTGTACTTCAAAAAAAAAATAATTCCATGTTTTGTATATATCTGACAAAACTGGCAACATTATACAGACTACTGACTTGAAGACCACCTCTTTTGTATTTCTCTGTTTCTGGGCTGATGAGTTGGTTTCATCCATTTTTCCCCCTTCAGAATTTCCCTTGGAAAAAGTACTAGCTTAGCTGGTCATTTCTTTGTAAGGTAGTTAGAAATTTTAAGTCTTTCTTTGGGCAACTTTTTTTTTTTTTT